ATTTATCTCCCAGCAGCACCTGGAGCACCTGTAGCACAATAACAGTTTGAGAGACAAAGCTACCTCCTATCTTGACTGTCACAGCATGTGGGTCTTTGCGTCAATAACTGTACCACTCCCATGACGTGTGGAATCATCTGACACCTCATTCACATGCGAAAGTCATGTCACCAGTCTGCCTTCAAAAAGGGATTCAACTATTATTTCCACATGTTGCAAAAGTTGACTCATCTGAGACCACGTCTGGAAAGCATTACAATTATCTTAGATACGTCTGGATTTTGGGAGTTCCCCTCTTATTCCACACAGTGTGGATCCAGTTGGATTTGGGGAGTGTCCATGAATAGATATCATTCTGTCATTATGCCCATTTTCAATGGCATTTGAGCCTGGGCTTGACTGGGCCTGTCGAGGGACCTGAGAGCTCCCGGCTGTTGTTTTATGCTTTAGGCTAAAGTCCTGCGGAGTCTTAATGTTTAAGAGGTTTTAAAGCACGATCTCATCTAGAATTTGTCTTCATATGGTATAACTGGTTTCTCAATCTTTATTAAGTTTCATCAAGTTCATTAACGGGTGAAGGTTTTGTACCTTCAAACGGAAGAATATTTTGCCTCCAGCTCATTCACATAACTTTTCTCAAACGTTGTTCCATCTGCTTTTGTTCCAGTGTGGTTTCCCAGTTCCCATTCTGTCAGACAGCCCAGATTTATGAAGTGCTGCAGTGACTCTCAGAGGCACAATGCCCTGTGACTGCAGATGTGTCAGAGCTACGTGCTGTTGTTTATCTTCTTCCTGATAATCAGGCTTCTTGCCCAGTTGGCTCAGGAGTATTGGAAGTGGTTTGGTGTTTTCATTTTTTCTTTTTCCAAATCCCAGGCTGTACTTTGTGCTTGAGTAAAGAGGACAATGTCCAGACTTGATCACAAAGTCTTTAATGTACTTAACCTAGTGGTTACTACGATCCATCAGAGTCTAGTAGTTATAAATTAAATTTAAAAAAAAAAATGAAAAGTAGATTTTTTTTTATTAAAAAAAACAAAAAACAAAACTACAAAATCATGGAACATCTAAACATATATATATATATATATATACCAATTCAATCAAGTTGAAAACCTGACTGTGACACCTCTTTAAAAGTGCCCTGTGGAGTTTTTGACCAATAGTTGTGCTATGAAGCAATGTTTTTAAGAGCAGGTCTCCATTTTACTACTATGTTGTGCATGCAAATAAGCATGCCCACAGACACACACAGGCTCCTCACATGGTGGGAAACACTGAATGTAAACACAACTTTTTCATTCAAAAATAATTTGTTTTGTTACTCTGTTTTCTGAACCCTACATGTAAATCACATTACAGCTACTATTCTGATGCCTGCAATACTTTCAACAATGCAGCAAAGTTTATGGATCTCTGTTGTACTTCCTGTCATGTAACCTCACTCACACAAGCCAATAAGAATCTGCTGACTAAGACACACACACATCAGCTATACTAATGGAAACATTTTTTCATTAAGTGAAATCATCTGTGCTGCTGCTGCAGATTAAAGTTGCTACAGTCACTTTAAAATAAACCTGCCCTGAGGTTATTGAGATCTTCTCGACACTTTTTCTTTTCCTAGTCCCAACTATGGATTAATATGATAATGAAAATGTAGAATTTAAACCACTAACAGTTTTGTGAATAGCTTGTGATACAAGTGCAGCACTTTATTGATCCAGGTATTGACCAGCAACATATGGCTCCCAGGCAACTTCTGTGGTTCCCATGGGAACAGCAGGGAGGAGGGATAATGGTGATCATCACAAGGAAGCTCTCAGTCTGTAGATGTCCCCCTCAGGAGACAGCTTTGACCATTTATAAAGTGAGGTTGACAGAACAAAGAGGAGCGAAGAAAGGCCTAATGGAGAAGTTGTTGATTTCTCTTTCAGAGGGAAACCTTTTGTCAAGGTTTTGACTTACTGACCCTAAATACTCATTGGCAAATGTGATCAACTGAAAGGGCAGTACGTCCTTTTAGGGCTTTTAGGAAGTGACTTGAAGTTATTTTTGACAGAAATGTCATGTTAATCAACTTACTGTTTCAGTGCTATCAATTCAAACTGTTATATTCATATCTAATGCATCTTAATTTTATTGCAAATTTTGTGGTGGAATTTTACATAATGTAGCTCTAACTCTGATTATACTGGGAGAGGAGAGGCTTTAAATCCCATCCTTCAGCTGGAGATGTGTTTTTGTAGCTGTATTTTAAAGTGTTTAACAGGCAGTAAGCGTATCTTCAATATGGCACTAAATTTCAAGCGATGTGTCAATAGTCCGTCCTAGAACAAACCAAGTAGGATCTCATGTTTCATGCTAGATTAAACAAATCAAACGTCATTTCACAGAACAGCTACAGTGATATTCATCACAACGAGTTCTATTGCTTAATGGCACCTTATCTTTTTCAGCTGTCGACTGTAATTGCATAGTTTTGTACTGTCGGTTTAAATCAGTGGGAGGTGACATATTTCATCCGAGGCCAGGGCTGTAGTGTGACAAGCCTGAGAAGCTGGCAATTCAGGTAACAATGAACAGGACAAACATTCACAGCCAATGGATTTCTCTTAGAAATTATGTCAGCCCACCACCTTGAAAAAGAAAAAAACAAAACGATTCAGGATCGTTTACCACTTCTCCAATCACACCACCACCACCACATGTGAACTTCCGCCTCCTTGCTGGACTGGAGAAAGAGTCACACCTCAGAAATGCTCAGAGCAAACACTGCTCATCGTAGCAAATACATGATCTTGCAACTTGATCTCTAAATACAAAGGCCACAACATTATTAATTCCCGTGAGGCAAAAAACACGGAGAACAATGAATGTTTTCTGATTCTACTACTTTTTAATCTTCTCTGCCAAAGCATCAATTTCCCAGCACCTACTTTGCATCTCACCCACATCTACCAGCATGCAGCCAGACAGGGTTCAGTCTTCAGGGCCTGAAAGCATAATTCTCCAGGGTATATTCAATTACATGAAAGTGCTTTGAGTACACGGAGACTGACCGGAAACATGTGCTTGAGGGTTTGTGTTTGCACATCGTTGTGTATATGCAAGAATGATGACTGCAGCTTGTATACTGGTGTATGCAAAGGAGAGAGCTTGCAAAAGTCTGAACTGTGTCACCACTGAGAGCAGCATCAACTACATATCGATTGCGTCACATTATTTCTAACGTAGAACACAATCTGCCCCCCCACATCTGTTGTGCTTCAGGCAAACTAAGCGATCTTAATCACGAAGCAACATCTGTCTGGAAACATGGTAAGTCTACTGACATGCACTCACATACTTCACCACTTCTGTCTCAGTTCTTTCGGTTAAAACAACCACAAGCATGTACATGCATCAATGCATCTGAGTCAAGTGCGCGCACACACACACACACACACACACACACACACACACACACACACACACACACACACACACACACACATCTTTTGAGATGATGCATGAATTGTTAGTCACTTAACAGGGTCTTCAATTATTCAGAATGATATGCTACAGATCAGGCTTGCAACTCTAGATTATTCAGCAGAGACAAGTAAATTATGAATACTGATACATTTGAGTTGTATAGTAATCAAATCAATTTATAGGACAAATATTGGTTTTAGATGAGCAAAGTGGAAGTTAAAAAAAACCCCAAAAAACAAAGTGCCATTTCTAAATCATTTTACTACAGAGGTAACAGCTTTTCAATTCTATTTTTAAACTAAACCGTATTGAAAAAGCAATGAGGACTGTATCGTATACAAGCGGTGAAGTTGGGGTTTCAGTTTCCTGAAGTGTTACTCAGAGCGTTGACAGGTACATATCGTCATCCCTGTACATTCCCCCCGGGGCCAAATACCATTGCCATGCACCGCAGATTCGTCAAACCTTCAGGACAAGCGTTACCACAAACAATCCAGATGCAGACAGTGAGTAGATGGTGAAGAGTGAAAACATGCACAAACACTTTTTACTGTTTCCTGTAAATTGCTCGATCATCAGACCAACGCTGTTTAATACGTCAACTTTATAATATATAAAGGCAGACATGCCTTTGTAATTTACATCACATTAATCACATCCTCCAACTGGTTATTTCCCAAACCTCAGGACCTCTGGCTAATGTTTAGGGGCACAGATGGAGGCTGGTTTAAACGTGGAGTCCTGCCAGAGGAGCTGTGCCCTCCGGGAGAGGCAGGGCCAGACCAGTCCTCCAGGGTTGTCAGGTTTGGCACACTCCTCTCAAACAGACAGGCCAGAACGGACAGATATGGAACTAAGCAGACACGAGCACAACACAAACACACAGTGACAGCATGCCTTGTGTGGCAAAGGCTGCACTTTCAGGCACACCTTTTATTAGCGCAGGCGAAGCCACAGTCAGAGAGACTCCAACAGGGCACACAAACACATACCGCAGCAACAAAAAGATTAACGGTCGCTATGCCAGCTGAGCTTTCTATGTACATAATGACTAAAGAATGAGGGGAAGGAATTAAAGTTGCTGGTGCAGACACACAGGAGGTGAGGGAACTCTGTTATCCCAAAGAAACCCACTAAATGCTGGAAACTCTTCCCTCTACTGAACAGTGAGCAGATATACATCCAGTCAGTCAGAGACCCATGCTAAAGATAACAACTTCTAAAGCTTTCCTGCACCACAAAAAATCCCATTTTCTGTTACTCTTTCAGTACAAACTTTTCGGGGGTTTTTTTGGGTTTTTTTTAAAGCTTTAACTTCTTTCACTGGGAGGTCTGGTTCAAATGACACATCAGTTCGTCATGTCTCTGATTCAGTAGTAAAAGCTGTAAAAAAAAAAAAAAGATGACTGGATGGGCCTCAAAATGTGTTGTAGAGGTGAAACAGAGAGTGAGAAGGAGCGAACATATTAAAAAGGGAATTGTGTGACACACAAACACATACATTGAGGGAGGGTCAAACTTACAGTGAGTGGAAGGGAGCAGACCACAAAGATGACAGTGATGAGCGCCAGCAGCACCAGGTGGTCCATCTCTTCTTCTCCCTGTCCAAACCATGCCAGGCTCAGCCGCCTCCTTCTCCCCGTCGACCCGACTGAGCCGCGCCGCATCACCTGGCTGCGGTGCATCTGGCACAGGCTGACAATCACTGAACCATTGCACACAAACACTGCAAAGATCAGCAGTGCCATGAGGGAGGAGTAGGACAGAGAGAAGGCCAGCACCAAGTTGACCTGGTCATCCCCTGTCGCATCCATGTCGATGAAGCACCATGTCCCGGGACAGTACTGTCTGAATTTGCCATAGCCACTGTATGGCAGGAGACAAAAGGCTAAAGAAAAGAAGTAAATAAAGAAAAGAGCAAATTTGGCAAAGCTGCGGCGGATGTGGACAGAGTAAAAGTAAGGGTGGCTTATGGCCAGGCAGCGCTCCACAGCCATGGCGCAAAGGATGAGCGTGGGCGCCAGGCCGAAGAAACTCATTGCAAAGCCAAAGAGGTTGCAAAGATTTTTGCCACCCAGACTTATCAACGACATGTTGCGGGCGTAGCAGATGAACACAGGTGGGCTGAGGAGGCAGGTGCCCAGCAGGTCGGTGAGGGCCAGGCCAGTCACCAGGATGCAGAAGACAGAAGACCGAGAGCGATGCTCCTTCTGGTGCACTCCGAGGATGAAGAGAGCCAGGAGGTTTCCCACCACACCAGCCAAAAACATGATGATGCTAGTCGCTGGCTTGCCATCCTCATTCACAGCCAGAACATCATTGCAGGTGGTATTGTGACATGATTCGTTTGAAACCATGCTTTTGTTCATGTCTAACATAATGAAAAAGAAACGTGCCGGCTCAGTGTGGAATTAATATGGAACTCCAAGACAACAAAAGGGAATCCTGACCTCTTGATGCCATCATTTGGTAACACAGAAGGCAGGGATGTATGCTGGGACCCATAATGATGCCTTGACTTAAAACATGATTCTGTCTGTCTGTCTGTCTTCTTTGCACTCTCCTGAGTGTCTTGAAATCTTTCTGTGGAACAAATAACACAAGGATTTAAAAAAAAAAAGAAAGAAAAAAAAGCTACTTAGTGCTCAGGTGCTCACCTTACGAAATACAGAAAAACGAAACTCATTCCACCACGTGGCATCATGTTAAACTTTTTCTTTTTGATAAATTAATACCTTTCTACCTCTGCTCATGTTCTGTTCTGATACACTGTGAAACTTTTAGAAGTAATTACTCACCTTTTGCCGGAAAGAAGCAATACAACGAGCGACCAAACAAAGTTACTACTCCCACTCCTCCTTCTTCTTCTTCTTCTTCTTTTTCTTCTTCTTATCCCACGGATTCGGATAACATGGTTTAAACCTGCCGCTGCCAGTAACGTGCCGGCATCGTGAAAGGCAAACACACAGTGAACTCACTGACAGAGAGAGTGAGACTGTTTAAACTCTGCCTCTCCTCAGCTGACTTTCTCTCTATGCAGAGTCCCACCCACCACTGTGACACACCGAAAGACGCTGACGTTATCGTCTTCAGAAGAACAAGTCGTGTGGTAGCTGGGGTTAAAGCTAGAAACGTGACAGAACTGTAGTGATTTTCTACTGGACGTGAATAAGAATGAGATTTCTGTAGGTTAACTTGCCCTTTTATTTCTTGATTCAATACAATGTACACAGAAATAAAAGCAGACGGAGCTGCATCATGAGCACACTGACTATCAATATCCAATACCCCATAATCAGTTTTATCTGATAATAATCTCATAATCTTTTTTTCTCAAGAGACAAAAACTCAAACCACATTACTTTAAAGGTAACCTATAATGAACTTTTATAATTAAGTTTCATATAGGGCCCAGCTGTACTGACACAGACTCTTTGGTTAGTATTGACTTGTTCTCTGAGCTCAGGAAAAAAATGTAATTTGTCTTTTGTGTAAGTGTTTTGTTTGGCAGTGTCGCTTCTTGGTTTTTTATAAAGGTGTTTTGAATAGCCTTAATCTCGGCTAGTTTACATTTCATGCAGCCTTTGGTACAGCTCAACCGAGAAAGGGAGAACCAGTGCGCTTTGGCTAAACATTAATGTCATGAAAGCATGTTTTCCTTACTTGTTTTTGCTTCTCTTGCCCTAAAAATATAAAAAAAATACCTGAGGCAGAGAGAAAGGTGAATTCTCCAACAGTGTGTATGTGTGTGTGTGTGTGTGTGTGTGTGTGTGTGTGAGAGTGTGTGTGCATTGCATGGCTTTGATTTAGCCTCCAGGGTTAAGAATACTGAATATGCTATCAAATATTTGAACAAGTTGAGTGCCTGACAAAAGTGGAAAAGAGAGAAGCAGTTCAAAAAACACTCGAACTCCAAATAGAAGTCCTGCATTCAAAAGTTGACTTAATTAAAAGTTATCTTTTCAGAGAGTAGTATTATCATTTAATTTGTATTTTTTATTGTTAAACATTAACCTTTAAGTTGCATTTTAATCTTTTAATGTAGTTTAATGTTGTGTTGGTGGTGGAGTTTATTTTGTTTTGTCATTTTATAAACAGTAATGAATCATTTTTAAGATCACCATATGTTTTGGAGGAAAATCTACAAAGTAACAGATAAAGTTTAGTCAGATAGTCTAAAGTTTTCCACCAAAATGTGTTGGAGTAAAGTAAAAAAAACTACTTAAGCACAGTGCCTGACAAAATGTGCTTTCCATTACTGCAAGGGTAGGATGACTTGGTGCTTTGCTGTGTCACTTTCTAAATTAATTAGTCTGGCCCCAAGGAGGTATGACATCATGTTCACCCATGTGTGATGTCTAAAAAACCATTGATAGATGTTCATGCTTATTTTAACCCAGAGAAGATGCTGTAGTTACAGCCTGCAGCTGCTTTGTTGGTTTGTGTTGATTTTAATCATATTTGATTCACATTTTGCTCTTTGTGATAAACCCTTAATTCCTGGAGGCCGCGATGTGGATGTTTTAAAGACCGTGCCATGGTACACCTACACAGGGGTGTAGGGGTGTAATATTTCTGATTAGACCTCATCACTTGGACTGTGCACGCAGATTGTGTCTGATCCCCCAACCCACCCATCTGTTAGCATTGTTTCACCAGTTACAACATACACCTTTATAGTTATTGTTCGTCTCATTTTTTCACACCTTTGATATTCCTATTAGTACAGTAAATCTTGTTTAATGTAAATGTAACACACATGACTCGCAGCACGCATCGCCACACAACTTCAAAACAAGCTGGTCAAATCAGGTACGATAAGTAAAAACACCTGAGCATGTGCACTGGGGGACATTTATCCCTCACTGTTCAAAATCCTAATTTTGTCCCCACTCACTGTTGATTTTCTTACCGAAGTCTCTGTAAACATGGACCAATTGTCCTCTGACAGTCCAGCCACTTGCAGTCTGATGTAAAATTGTTGATTCACTAATTTAAGCTGACTTCAGTTGCTCAAAGCAATGTGTTTAACAAGCAGTAGTGAGTTCTTTGGGTTTTTTTTTTTTTTTAGCCCTGAGTTTTTGCCTCTCAGGCACCATAAAGGCTTGTCCCACTTTATTGGTGAATGCTGTTTGGGCTGTTTATTTGCTAGATTAATTTGATATATATAATGCAGGAAATAAATAGTAAGAATTTTCTTAATTGTGTCCCGCAAACTACACCCTTGTAAGAAAACAAGCTCAAGTATGATCATACAACAATCGGTTAAATTACAGAACAACACAAAACCAAATAAAATTGCTGTGATGATATGTTGGTTGAACATAAAATGACACAAAGACGTCACCATTTCCCCAGACGCAGGATGAAATCATGTGGAACCATTTCCATGCTTGCTAATGGTTTCTTTTCATGACACCTTAAATAAGATGTAGCACTAATGACACCATCACAACCAGGAAAATAGACATGTACAAACTGCTGCAGAGTAATTAAATTTTGTGGCTCAGTTTCCTCTCTCAATACTGGTTCCTGTTTCTGTAAATGAGTATACTGATAACAGTGAAGTGCCAATCTTCATTTCTGGATGGAGTAATGGAGATCAAGTCCCTCCTTGTTTTACACTCTGTAAATGAAAGTGTTGATGCACAGTTGCACAGCTGCTAGTGGGTAGTAGATTGCTGGAATGGGCTACTGTGATATTGTTAAACAAAAACACGCAGGTTGTTGTCTTTTAATCTTTTTCTCACTCTCACTCCACCTCTCCAGCCCTCACTTCTTCACTGACAAACAAAACTCTTCATTTACTTTTAACTACCACGGGGTAGCTTGAGACATGGATGGCATGCAGGGTGTTTACAGTTGCACTGGTCATAAAACAAACGAGCCTGGCACATTTAAATATACAGCAGACATAGACACTCAATACAAATGCAGACATACTTGCACACTTTCCCCAAAGCAGGAGTCTAGTTTGTGAACATACCAACTGAGACACAGAGATCATAACACTTGGTAAATTTACACAAGTTTTTGTTATGACAACAAGTGCAGTGAAGCACTGATTTACAATAGAAGCTGCTGTTGTTTGGTTGTATGTGCATATTGTTAATTCATGAGTGGATAGGTGTGGGGACTCAGGTTTCATACAGGCCAAACACACAGTTCCAGTGAAATGGATACTCAGAAGAATTAAGATGTATAGATGGAAGGAGATGGATGATGGGCAGATTAATAGTCAATGATCAATGTATGACTAATGGATGGTTGGGTAGATGGATTAATAAATTGATGGAGGGATGAACAGAAAGACACATTAGAGTAATGACTGGATGGATGGATGAATGGATGGATGGATGGATGGATGGATGGATGGATGGATGGATGGATCAATTAATGGCTAATAGTAATGGGATGGATGGATCATTCATAAGTATATGGATGGATTGATTAATTAAAAATGGTAGAGAGCTTGATAGATGGATGGATGAATGGATGGATGGATGGATCGATGGATGAATGGATGGATGGATGGACAGACACACAGAAGGAAAGATAAGATGCTCTACCAAAAACATTGGCGGCTTAACAACCAGGAGGTCATAAAATACATTAACTACTCACATGCTCCGTCATGGTATGTCTTTATTGGAGTGAAACACGAAAACATGTTACATAATATTGAAAGCACTTTTATGTGTCTTAGGTCTGTCTGCACATGTTCCTGGAAGGCAGATTTGGAGATCGACAGTCCCGATGACTGTTGTTTTACTGAACTGATTGCAGTAACTACCCACGATACAGCTACTTTCAATTACATTCAAGAACTGACTAAACAGGAATAGAAGCTGTTTCAACATATGGATATGCCTGATTTAGCAAGCATCATTTCCTCCTTCAGTTGAATCACAGAGGAAAGTCATTTGAGAGTTGCAGCATGGAACAAAGTTACTGACATAAATGTCTCATACACAATCTCTAATAACCTAAACATTTACCATAATTCATAACTCACTGGAGGATAATGGAATTGTAACTTTAGACTGCCATGACCAGAATTACAAAAATATAGCGCTCAGGGAATTTTGGTCTTGGATATTTTTGTGTGACCTTCTCATTCCTAATTGAATGTTTCCGATGACAGCTAAATATAAAGTAGAGGTTTAACTCAAATCTATAGAGATTTGAAAAAGCTCCCACAATGTTCTGATTTGATTAAGAAAAGGATTACATTTGATGTATGTATATTGTGTATGGGCTATTTATCATATTTCAAAATAGGTCCAACCCCACAAAGAACCTCACCCTAAGGAGAAAGATAGCAGCATGTGTGTGAGAGAAAGAGCGTAAGAGAACAAAAGAAGTTTCCATGTCTTTGCATATTCTTTTTCTATTTTTATTCATGATGGTGATTGCCATATTAGCCTGGCATGTCCGCTGTCATCACTACCATGTGTTTTCATTGATTGATAAGTATCAAATGTCTAAGTCATGGAAATGTTAATAACCAAATTATTCAATTAGCTAGCACATGTTTTCAGCTGTGCATATCATGAAGTCGTGGAAGGCATGAGATTATGCCTTCCAGGGCCTCAGTTCCTCCTCTGTGTTTGTTTTTGCACTCAGAAGATCAGCAATGCAAAACTGGTTTTAAGATCCATTAACGGTAAACATTGTTCAGTGAGTCGGAGCTGATGTCGACTCTAAAGACTTAAGTGAAAGATGGTGATGGAGATGCTGCTGATGACAGGAGACCACACATACAAATGCACACACACACACACACACACACACACACACACACACACACACACACACACACACACACACACACACACACACACACACACACAGGGAAAAAATACTTTGGCTGTATTAGAGCTTCTAATATACACCAGTTCTGCTTAAGTCCATTTATAGTTGTGACTTCATATTTTTACTTAACAATATTTAAAGTATCAAAATATATGTTTGTATTGTTCAT